GTAGCCCGAGTAAGCTGGCAGGATGCGTTTTACTTATCCTTCGAGAAAATATAACTCGAAGCCTTTCAGAATCCTGGACGGTTTCTTAACCACCACACCAGCCACAATCCACAGCTGTTAAGCTTCCACTTCCTTCTTTATCCTCCCCCTCTATCCTCCCCTCTTTTCTCCTCATATTCCTTCTCCCCATCTTCCTTCGCCTCCTCTTCCCCTCCTCCTCCTCTTCTTCCCTCTCCTCCTCCTCTTCTTCCCTCTCCTCCTCCTGGTGTCGTGGAAGCATCTCATTTTTCCTCCCAGTTGGTCCAATAACGCTGGTGGTAGATTCTGCAATATTCCCCCAATGTAAATTCCCAGCGTCTTGCTAATTCCAGATTCCAGTGTGCTGCTGCTAATTCCACATTACGCTCGTGGCTCACTCCACGTGTGACACTCAGCTACTTACGGAGCATCTGTGCCGCCGCCAACAGTGTGGGGAGGGAAAACGCTCTTATTGTTTCCTTCTTTAAGAAATAAAATCACGTTTTTTTGTCGAGGTCCTCCAGACACCTTGGGGTGACTAGCGATCTTGTTACTCGACAGCGTAAGAAATAAGGTCTTGTGTCAGCAGAGGCGGCCGTAATGTCAGGAGGAGGAACACTCTTAAAGCTCTCCAGAACTAAAGGGAAAAGCTGTATCAACAGAGGGTGGACACCTGGCCCACGAGGAACGAGCACTCCTCTGCCCCTTTACTTTAGAATTAAACTCGTGTATCAAGATCGGCTAACACTTGAACATCGAGGAATAAGGACCTTTTATTCCCTCTGGTCTAGAACCCCAAGTCGCATTTCACCAAATGCTGTCCAAGAAACGACAGTGGAATAACGTCTTTGTTACACCCACGCGTAAGACCTAGAGTCACATGTCAGCCACGGGCGACCATCAGACCCCTGAAGAAAAGCTTCTGCTGCTCACCGACTCAAGAATTAAAATCGTCGTGTATCAGCAAACGTGGAGCCCCTTATGAGGCATCTGTGCCAAACCCCTCCTGGGAAAACACTCTTACTGCTCCCTTCTCCTAAGAATTAGAGTCGTGTGTCAGCCAAGGAACGCACCAACCCACAAGGGAAAAACGTTTTTACTTCCCAATGGCATAAAGATAAAAATTGAGTATTAACCGTGGCGGCGTCATGGCTGGCGATGTATCTCATCGCGGGAATCAGACCCTTGTGGCTTACTTATCAAAGGGTTTATATTTCTTTAAACGGGTCTCATTGTGGTTAGAGCCCACCTCGTTTTCTTTTACTCGGGGAATACTATACTACTATTTCATGGATATATTGCGTTGAGGTGATAGCTATGTGTTGTGGGATGGAGGCTAAATCTTGGCTCGTTTACCTAATATATATTCCAATATTGTATATAGACGATAGCTGGGTATTTGGGCTGACAATTCTCATCTCTCCTTTTATTCAGTTTTACATAGATGATAGTTGTAATTCTGGGGGGTGAAAATTTAATTCCGGGGAATTTAGAGGTGAAAAATACTGGCCATTTCGTAAATCGAGAATTCTTTTACCCTGGGATATTGGCGACCATCTTGATCAGGATGCTAATGGTGGAGGCAGTTATATATCCACCAACTCTGCCTCTATGGTTTAAGTCTGTGTCTTATGTCTTTACCGGTTTACAATATGGCGCTTTCGGTTTACAATATGGCGTCTTCGGGTTCACTATATGGCGTCTTCGGGTTCACTATATAGGCGTCTTCGGGTTCACTATATGGCGTCTTCTGGTTACACTATATGGCGTCTTCGGTTCACTATATGGCGTCTTCGGGCACTATATGGCGGCTTCGGGTTCACTATATGGCGTCTTCGGGTTCACTATATGGCGTCTTCGGGTTCACTATATGGCGTCTTCGGGTTCACTATATGGCGTCTTCGGGTTCACAATATGGCGGCTTCGGGTTCACAATATGGCGTCCTCGGGTTAACACTATAGCGGCTTTAGTAAACTTCATGTTGATGTTGTCTAGATTCTCAAAGGTACATAGAGTAAATAATTCCTCATTCTCAAAAATCTAGAAATGAACTTAAATTTTAACTTACAGTAAATCACAAAAATTAGGCACAAATTAACCTTAGAATTTATACCTGATTCCACCTTAACTTAACTCGATCATTTTACACTTGATAAGGTTAATGTATTAAATATTTATTAACTTTTACCCTAACTGGAGTTAAGTGGACGTGTCTAATTAAGGTCGAATCTCAAGTGTATTTTTTTAACTTATTTTTTTTACGGTATTTTTTTGTAATTTATTTTTAAGTATTGTGTCTTTTTCTTCATCAACTTCTAATTTGATTCTAATTTTTAATCAAATTTCTCGTTGGTTTCTATTTTCATCAACTAAAATCTCTCTTGCTCTTTGTTGTTTCAGTTTATGGTCTATTTTCCCCCTCTGTATCCCTGTTCTTTGCTGGTTTCCCCCCAAAAGTGGTGCTGCTCTCAAAAGGCTCAGCCGTGTCAATATTATTGTTGTTGTGGACTTTGTGTATCTGTAAAACTCTGGCTAAATAAAATGTTTCAATTCAGTTTAATAGTGTTAGTGGTAGCAAGACTGTGTGTGTGTGTGTGTGTGTGTGTGTGTGTGTGTGTGTGTGTGTGTGTCAGAGGTTATTAGTATTATTAATAGTAGTAGTAGTGGTAGTAATGGTGGTAGTAGTAGTCTTCATATTACTAGTCAGCTTCAGGTAGTAAAAAAAACTCAATCTTGGCCAGGTAATATCCTCACCTGTGTCGCACCTCACCACCCTCAACACCGCGGAGGTCGTCAGGACGTGTTTACATTACTGCTAAGATGTCGTCATTATTTTTTTTTTTTGCAGGAGGGAAATTTATCTTATACTTGATATATAGAACAAAACTTACGTGAGATTATTGGTTCTTTATATTTATGAAAAAAAATGGAATTATTAGTGTGTGTTTTTCAGAAAGTTCGTGTATCAGGAAATTATAGAATGTTGAAATGTAGATAGTCAGAGAAGTTTATTTTTGACAAGTGTATTAAAGTAGATTACTCAGGTGGAAAGATCATTGGTGGATAACAGGTATATTAATTACGCAAATATACCGTACTGTGTGTAAGAGTGGTGCATCAACACAGGTAACAAGAGCCCCCTGCACCTCCCACCGCCATACATACAGGCGTGGTACTTGATTAGGGATGTACCGTGTTGTGTTGCCACCAGATGAAACAAACTGGGAGTGGTGTAGCTGTGGCCTCGTTTGACCCCAGTAACAGCCTCGGTCAAGGTGTCGACATCAAAGGTTAGGGATACTCTGAGCCGCGGGGGAACGAGACTCGACCCTGAGCCAACCTGCGCCTGTAAATTAAAGAGTGCCGCTTGGAATACGTGTCCGGGAAGCAGTACTGCCTGAAATGCTGGGATACTAGAAACAGTGTCGTCTGAATGTGGTTGATCAGGTGGTGGGGTGGATCAGGTGGTGGGGTGGATCAGGTGGTTGGGTGGATCAGGTGGTGGATGGGGTGGGTGGATCAGGTGGTTGGGTGGATCAGGTGGTGGGATGGATGTGGTGGGGTGGATCAGGTGGTGGGTGGATCAGGTGTGGATCGTGCAGGTGACCAGTGGTGGGTGGATCAGGTGGTTGGGTGAGGTGGTGGATGACCAGGTGGTTGGGTGGATCAGGTGGTGGGGTGGATCAGGTGGTTGGGTGGATCAGGTGGTGGGATGGACCAGGTGGTTGGGGACCAGGTGATTGCGGGCAGTTTCGGGTTCTGATGAGTCCATTAAAACTTAGTCAAGTCTTTGTTCAAGCTCCGCACCTGCCTCCTCCTCTTCCTCTCTCTCTGTCTCCTCCTCCTCTTCCTCCTCATCTTCTCCATCCTCTTCCTTTTCCTCTACCTCCTCCTAATTTTCACTTTATCTCTCTCCCCCACTGATTACTATGCCCCCATTTCACCCCCTGACCCATCACTGCAAATCATCTTCCCACCCTACCTCTTTCCTTATCCTTCCTTCCCATTATCCCCTTCTCTCCACCACCCTTCTCCACCACTCTTTCCCTCCACCACCCCCATTGTCACCACCCTCCACCCTCCCTTCACCTTCCTCTCCCTTCACCTCCTCACACCGTCCTCTCCTCTTCCTCCGTCCCTTTCCCTACCCTCCTCTCCACTTCTTTTCCTCTCCCCTTCCTCCTCTCTCCTTCCTCCTCTCTCTCCTTCCTCCTCCTCTCCTAAAGCTCCTCCAATACGGGTTGACAGTCGCCTCTCATCATAAACACCCAGGGCTACAATCACCCTTCCCACTCCTTCCCACTCAGAGGAAAAAAATAGGGAACCCCAATTTGGTGCTTCAAAGAGGGGTATATTGGGGCATCTGGCAGAGGACTACAACACACTCCCCTTCCTCCCCTGCTCCCTCACCCCTCTCCCGCTCCCCCCTCTCCCTCACCCCTATTATATGAAGGCCAGGCAAGTTTGTCTCGTATTGGAAATGTGTTCACGTCTCGGCTCTCTGTCGGACGAACACACACACACACACACACACACACACACATACATTGTACCATATGCAGTCTCTCTCTCTCTCTCTCTCTTCTCTCAACACAGCATTAGAGTTTAATACAGTAGTCGCACTGAAGCTTCCCTTATGCAGGTAATTTTGGCCAGTGCTTACGGCGCCACCAGGTAAATGTATGGGCCATTAAGGCTGTATTGGCCAGGTAAGAGAGAGAGAGAGAGAGAGAGAGAGAGAGAGAGGAGAGAGAGAGAGAGGAGAGATAGAAGTAGAGACCTGGTAAGGAGGGGAAAACTTTATTCCATCTATATTAATCGTGTTATCTCAGCCATATTGTTCCATCCATATTAACAACATGGCCCCAGCCATATTGTGTGTGTCATTACCTGCTATTGTGTGTGCCATATTACCTCAGCCATATTGTATGAGCCATATTATGATAGCCATATACTAACAGTTATGTCATCTCTTCCACAGTGGGCGGCGAACTCGGGGCGTTGGTGGGCGAGTCTCCGAAACTTATAGAAATTGCTGAAGCGGTGAGTTTACATTCAGGGGCTGCTGGGGTAGTGTGCCCATCCTGACCTGATTGATGGATAGTTTTCTCCGTGTTATGTTTTTTTTTCTGTAGCTATGTGTGTGTGAGGGGGGGGTAAGTGGTTAGTTTCTGTGTGTGTGTTATGGGTAAGTGGTGGTATGGCAGGTAATTAGTGGTGACTTGTCAGGTAGTTGTGGTGGGATGCCAGGTAGGGTGGTGGTGGTGGTCTGCCAGGTAGGATGGTGGTGATCTGCCAGGTAGGATGGTGGTGGTGATCTGCCAGGTAGGATGGTGGTGGTGATCTGCTAGGTAGGATGGTGGTGGTGATCTGCCAGGTAGGATGGTGGATCTGCCAGGTAGATGGTGATCTGCCAGATAGGGATGGTGGTGGTGATCTGCCAGGTAGGATGGTGGTGGTCTGCCAGGTAGATGGTGATCTGCCAGGATAGGATGGTGGTGATCTGCCAGGTAGGATGGTGGTGTGATCTGCCAGGTAGGATGGTGATCTGCCAGGTAGGATGGTGGTGGTGGTGGTGATCTGCCAGGTAGGATGGTGGTGGTGGTGATCTCAGGGATGGTGGTGGTGGTCTGCCAGGTAAGATGGTGGTGGTGGTGATCTGCTAGGTAGGATGGTGGTGATCTGCCAGGCTAGGTTGGTGGTGGTGATCTGCCAGGTAAGATGGTGGTGGTGATCTGCCAGTGTGGATGGTGGTGATGGTGGTGGTGATCTGCCAGGTAGAATGGTGGTGATGGTGGTGGGATCTGTCAGGGGATGGTGGTGGTGGTGGATCTGGTGGTGGATGGTGGTGATGGTGATCTGCCAGGTAGGATGGTGATGGTGTGTGATCTGCCAGGTAGGATGGATGGTGGTGGTACTGCCAGGTAGGGATGGTAGTGGTGGTGATCTGCCAGGTAGGGATGGTGGTGGTGATCTGCCAGTAGGATGGTGGTAGTGGTGGTGATCTGCCAGGGATTGTGATGGTGATCTGCCAGGTAGGATGGTGGTGGTGATCTGCCAGGTAGGATGGTGGTAGTGGTGGTGATCTGCCAGGTAGGATGGTGGTGGTGGTGATCTGCCAGGTATGATTGTGATGGTATCTGCCAGGTAGGATGGTGAGTGGTGGTGATCTGCCAGGTAGGGGATGGTGGTGGTGATCTGCCAGGTGTGATGGTGTGGTGGTGATTGCCAGGTATGATTGTGATGGTGATCTGCCAGGTAGGATGGTGGTGGTGATCTGCCAGGTAGGATGGGATGGTGGTGGTGATCTGCCAGGTAGGATGGTGGTAGTGGTGGGATCTGCCAGGTATGATTGTGGTGGTGATCTGCCAGGTAGGATGGTGGTGGTGATCTGCCAGGTAGGATGGTGATGGTGGTGGTGATCTGCCAGGTAGGATGGTGGTAGTGGTGGTGATCTGCCAGGTAGGATGGTGGTGGGATCTGCCAGGTAGGATGGTGGTAGTGGTGGTGATCTGCCAGGTAGGATGGTGGTGGTGATCTGCCAGGTAGGATGGTGATGGTGATCTGCCAGGTAGGATGGTGGTAGTGGTGGTGATCTGCCAGGTAGGATTGTGATGGTGATGGTGATCTGCCAGGTAGGATGGTGGTGGTGATGGTGATCTGCCAGGTAGGATGGTGGTGGTGATCTGCCAGGTAGGATGGTGGTGAGTTTGGTGACCGTCAACACTTGTGACCTTCACCTTGTCAATAAATTTCATCTTATAGTGAGCGAAGCGTCGTGTGCCTTAGAGTGGACGACTTGACCCAGATTGGCTGGCTGGGAAGGAGGAGGGAAGGAGAGACAGACAGAGGAGGGAGGAAGAAGGAGGAAAGAGTGACAGAGAGAGAGGTAGTAAGAAGCAAGAAAGGAGAAACAGAGAGAGAGGAAGATACAGAGAGGAGGAAGAAGGGGAAGGAGACGCAGAGATGAAGGAAGGAAGGAAGGAAGGAAGGAGAAATTTTATTAATGATTATCTTTCTTCTTTTTTAAATGAGTATATGACGTCCAGATATTTACTATTGTTTATATACATTTTTATATATACCTTAAAAGTGTGACCTGGTTGTCATTTCTCTTGTCAACAATGTAGGAAAATATGTCGAGAATTTTTACTTTGACGGAGGGAAAATATATATATATATATATATATATATATATATATATATATATATATATATATATATATTTTTTTTTATTATTTATATATATATATATTTTATTAATTGTGTATTTTAGTGTATTAGTGTATTAAAAAATGCCATCATGATAACACTATTTTTGAGTATTTATACATTTAAGTTATTGTATTGTATCGTAATTCTGATGTAATTCTAATAGGTAGTGAGAATTAAACTAGACAAGAGTTTTATGGTAATTCTTATTTAGAGAAAGAAAATAAATATATGAACATTTTCTAATTATAAGCGAATTCTTGGGAACACACAACACACACACACACACACACACACACACACACACACACACCACACACACACACACACACACACACACACACACACACACACACACACACACCTTGTAAAATAAACCGAAAACATAGATATAATACAGTATTTTTTTCTCCCATTTATTTCTGTGTTGTGTGACCTCTGACTTTATTAAAATATTTAAGAAAAAATACAAAACCAAATTCACCCTTTGATAGAGAACTCCTTTGGTTGTGATGATTTAAACTTCAGGTCTCAAAGGGTTAAATGATCTGTACTAGGGATTAAAATCATTGTACTCGGGGTTTAATCAATGAACTCAAGGGGTTTAAGTCATTGTACTCGGGGTTAAGTTTGAGAAGCGGAGTGGTTGGCGGAGGGGTCTGAACTCTGCCTGCCTCGGTGTCGGGTGACTGAGCCCTTGGGGTCAGCTTATGGCAGTCTCTCTCTCTCCAACCTCCATCCAACCTATCTCTCTCCAACCCTCCATCTATCCACCCATTCTCCTTCCAACCTCTCACCCTCCATCTCTCCAGCCCATTCTCCCTCCAACCTCTCACCCTCCATCTCTCCAGCCCATTCTCCTTCCAACCTCTCACCCTCCATCTCACCAACCCATTCTACCTCCAACCTCTCACCCTCCATCTCACCAACCCATTCTCCCTCCAACCTCTCACCCTCCATCTCTCCAGCCCATTCTCCCTCCAACCTCTCACCCTCCATCTCTCCAGCCCATTCTCCCTCCAACCTCTCACCCTCCATGTTTCTTTTCCTCCTTCCCTTCCTCCCACCTGACCTCCTGCTGTTAACATAATCAGGGATGAACCTCACTTTCTGACAGCTGAAGACTCGTGGGGCAGCGCTGGCAGCCCTTTTCCGATCACAGCGTCCCATTGTTGATTGTGGTTGTGTGGTGGTGTGGTGGTGGTGATGGTGGTGTGTAAGAGAAAGATGGTGGATGGTGATATGTTATTGCTGTTCTATAAATTGCCTACTGCTGTCTTCCTGCTTACTCACTTCTGTTGTGGCCTCCTCTCTACCTCCGCTGTTGTGACCTCCTGCTCTAACCCTCGCTTGTCTCAGCTTATGTTCCCCAGTGTCCTACCAAACCCCGGATTATGTCGACGCTCTCAATGGGGTCTTCACTATTGTCAATATGAAGACATCAGTGACTCCATCCCACACACCCTCTGTTGATATCTCTGAGATCTGGGGACTAGTGGTGGCTTCTCGACACTGCCCTGAGTCATTACTGTACAGTGTTGGTGGGACGGTCATGTTATTCTTGGAGGGAGGGTCCGTTCCAGGTGCTGAGTGACAGTCACGGCTTCTCTTGACAGGCTGGGGCGTGACGGTGGGAATATGACATGACAGGAGAGGGACGTGACTGCAGAGAGGGAGGAGGAGGGGGTGCTTGACGTGACGGGGAGAGTGTGAGACGTGATGGGAGGCGGACCGGGAAGAGGAGGGGCGTGACGAGAAGAGGAGGAGGATGAGTGAGGACATACACGTTAGGGAGGGTTTGATGTGGGGAGAGGAGCGTGACGGGAGGGGTTGTGTGACGGGAAGAGGAGGTGGAGGTGTGTCGACATGTGACGGAGGGAGGGAGGGAGGAGGGGGGTGACGGGGAAGGTATTGTAACGAGGTGGAGAAGGAGGGGAGGACAGTGTAACGAAGGGGGGGTGGGGTTAACGAGATGAAAAATAAAATGACGGAAAACTTGGGAGATGGATTTTAATTTTTATTTTTTGGTTAATATTATTAGCCGTAGAGGGAGGAGGCTGGGGTGACAGAGGGGGTGAAGGAGGAGGATGAGGGAGAGCTGGGGGGAGTTTGAGGGTGTGTGTTGGTGGTAACATGTTGGGCTGGATCAGTTTTTAACTTGAGGTCTCTACACGGATGTGCACCTGATTGTTAGCTACATGAACCCACACACCACCGAGAGACTGCGTATATGTTCAGGGCATGCGAGCCGACATGTCAGAACTTGTTGTCGTACCAAGCGGCTGTGTGTGTGTGTGTGTGTGTGTGTGTGTGTGTGTGTGTGTGTGTGTGTGTGTGTGTGTGTGTGTGTGTGTGTGTGTGTGTCGCACTAGAGGAGGATATAGGTTGAATTGGAACGATAGATGGATGGAGAGAGCAGGAGAGAGAGAGAGAGAGAGAGAATTAGAAAGATGAATGGCTAGACGACAGAGAGGGAGGGAGTAGGGTGACTTAGGAAGTGTTTTGATTGGAGAGGACATAACTCTTAAGGGTCTTCATGAGAAGCCTCCACGGTGCAGCCAGTTTGGTCGTGTTCATCATCTCTTCTTCCTCTCCCGCCCTCCCTTCCTCCCGTCCTCCCTCCTTGTCATATACTTCCCCACTTCCTTGCACCCCTCCCCCCGGTGTTATGTTCCCCTACCATTCCTTCCCCTGATATCCCCTACCCCTTTCCCTGTGTTATACCCTTCCTTCCCCTGTGTTATATCCCCTACCTCCCTTTCCCCTTTGATACCCCCTGCCTTTTGATGCCCCTTCCTCTCCCTGCCTTTAAACTTCCCACAGCTGCGGGA